CGTAACTAAATGAAAAAGGAAAAACAAGAAAAGAATGAAAGGAAAGAGGTGGAAAACAAGAAAGGAAAGAAAAACACAAGCGGGAGAAAGAAAAAAAAAATAGGAAATCAAACAGAAGCAAAAAAGAGAAAAGAAAAAGGAGCGAAGGAAAGAAAAGAGCGGAAAAATAATTTTGAGGAAAGAAGGGAAAAGGAACAAGGAAAAACAAAGCAAAAGAAAAAGAAGAAAAGAGGGAAAATAAGAGAGAAAAGCAAAAGAGGGAAAGGCAAGAAACAAACAATGGAAAACACGAGGGAAGAATGAGAGGAAAGGCATGGCAAATAAAGAAAAATGAAAAAGCCGGGATGACGCATGCGACCGATCAAAAGCATAATAGGAACTGTTAACTGCCAAGGTGCATTCACTCCCCAAATGTGCGGGTACCAATATGTTAAATGCCCTAACACTAACGTGATGGTTTCATTTTGTCATGTCATTCCAGAAAGGTGGTTGGTTTGTGGTTTGAAAGTGGTAACTCTTCGTTACAACACAAGGACAAAAGGCAATGGCAAACAACAAGAGAGCAGAGTTGGTTGATATTGGTGCTCGACAACAGTTGGTGAAACGGGATAATGGGTTGGTTGAAGAGGTAAAGATGTTGAGACAACACGTGACAAACATGTATCGGGCATGGATGACTGGGAAGGCACCACCCCTGCCCCCACCCAGCCTCCTAGACGTTGTCCTTACCCAAACTCCGGACACAATGCCAGTCGATCCTCCACCCTCTCCATACTTACCCGCTTATCACAGCTTTCCCAGCCACCCTAGTAACTTTATCACTCGTCATCCAACTATCTTTTCCAGAAGTGCCCTCCGGTCACATCCACAGTTCTCAACAATGAACACCCGCCCAAAGCTCATAACGCCCAATATTATCCCTCCGAGGTTGCTCACGATGAGGTGTTAAGAATGGGGGAGCTAGTAGAAAAGGCAATCAAGTCGGGCAAGCTCATGAGTTGCTCGAAAGACATTCTGAATATCCCAGCAAGCTTGGGTGGGGGAAGGGGAAGCAGAAAAGGTGATCCGATGGGTTTTCCTGATCAACACTCCCGGCCCCGACATCGTCCCCGTGGACATCCTTGTATGCCAGGTGACCCTTCCCAATGCTACTTCTCTTCACATAACTCCCAGAGTCATACACCACTTTTCCGGTACCCGGCTCCACAAAATGCTTACCCACCCCCAAGAGCCTACAAGAATCTCCCTGGAGCAAGGGCACAGAAGCAGGAAACTTTCACCCCCTTGGGAGAGTCATATGCAGACTTGTTTGAGAAGCTAAAGCAATATAACCTGATTGCACCCATTCCTCCGAATCATGTGGACAAGCGTGCAAGGAGCTTTGACCCTTCTAAAAGGTGTGGATACCATTCCAATGCCCAGGGGCACGATGTCGAAAGTTGCCGGGATTTGAAAAGAGAGATAAAAAGAATGATTCAGGAAGGGATAATTACAGTCAAGGACAGTGCCACTCAGAACATTGCACAGAATCCTTTGCCTGCACATGATGATGCACATTTTGTGGGAAAGATCCATGACGACAGGGAGTACGAGAATCCTCTCGAAAACTCGTTGAATGAAGTTAATGATATTGAAATTGGTGACGGTCCCAGCAATTTTGATGAGCAATCCAGTGGCTAAGGTGTCGAGTTTGGTGATTGGAAAGACGCTCCAACTCTTGGTTAGCTAGAGTGGAGTTTTGGTGGTTTATTTTGTTGTCATTTCTGTTGTCTGGGTTATTTTCAGGGTTGTAATCCGGATATTGTCTTGTGACTCAAACCCTTCTATCTTTTCACTTTGCCGTAATAGCTTGTTTAGTGCTGTCTAGGTTTGTCTGTTTGTTCTGTTGTTTAAACCCTTTCACCGTCAGTCTAATGCAATCTCCTGTTTCCTGCCATTTCTAGTCATTTTGTTTAGTTTTCTTCTCCTTCTACAAGTCTTTTCATGCTGGTTCTGGTGACATGACATGCACGCATAATTCTCAGCCTGGTTTTAAAAGTCAGTTTAGTAAGGAAGCAATAAGACAATGTTGAAGATGTAAGGACAGTCGAGGGATTTTGAAATCTCTTCGAGCCCAAATTGTGTGAAACTGGGTCAGATCGGTTTGAAACTAAAGGCAAGTTTGCCCCAAGTCTACAGGGGCCGTTCGTGGTACCGAGATTGTTGTCCAATGGTGCTGGGGTAATTGACAAATATAGAAGGCAAATGTGCAGATATGGTTAGTAATTTTGGTGCAATCAAAAGATGTTATGTATGTTTTCCTCATATTCATATTGTGTAGTTTGTACTTGGCATGTTTTGGAGATTGGAATGACGAAGGCATTTTGTTCTGCTATCCAAACACTTTATCATTTGCTACCCCTTTGAGCCTCGGTTATTTTCTTGCATACCCTTCTTTCAGAATCGATAACAAAACTCAGAAGCCCGAGCGGGGAAAATAAGTGGAGAAACAAGAGGAAAAAGGAGAAGGAGAAGAGAAGAAAAGAGAAAAGAAAAGAAAGAGAAAAACAGTGAAATAGAAAAGGAAAAAAAGAAAAAGAAAAGAAAAGAAAAGCAAAAAAAAGAGAAAAGAAAAATAAAAGAGAAAAAAAGAAAAAGAAAAGAAAAGAAAAGAGAAAGAAAAGAAATGAAAAGAAAGAAAAGGAAAAGTGAAAAAAAGGAAAGACCGCAACAACGAAGTAATTTCTATGACCTGAACTACGTTTGACTTGATCCCGAAAGGGTACGTAGGCAGCCTCTCTCTGAGGTTCAGTCATACCGAAATAAAAGTCCAAAAGTCCCCAAGAAAGAAACTGGGGCAGAAGTTGTGGTTGTTGTGAGAAATCTGATTCCGAAAGTTGTAATTTTGAACCCACGTTGAATTGTTTTGAGCCTTTGATACCCTTTCTTTCTCACCCTATCCCAAAGCCCACATTACGGTCCAAAGAAAGACCTTCCGATCAGTCTTCAAGAAGTGCCAAGACNGCAGACTGTTAACAGAGTCATAATTTCCTCGGTTCGGGATTCAACCGATGACTTGGGACACCATTAATCTCCCAAGTGGCGACTCTGAAATCTTAATAATAAATCCCGTTCCGATTGTCCTTTAAGTGGAAAAACTCCTTTACGCCCTTTCCCGGGGTGTAGGAAAAAGGAGGTGTGACACTGGGCCTCTAGGAAGATGGCATATTGGGCCTAAGGAAGTGGGCTCATTACCTTAGCCCAATAAATTAAGGATTATTTATTTGATCTATATATATTGGGCTTATAATTAATCCAATTATATTATCCCAATAAATTTATTTGCCCTAATATATGTTGAATTTTAAAATATAATCCCAGTTATTTTACAGATTTAATTCCAATAAAATTTATATGCCTACAATGGAAATAACACATAAATAGAGTAAATACTCAATGAAGAGAGATTATATCTTAAAGGCATTAACAAAGGTAAATAGTCTAAAATTTCTTCTAATTAATATTTTCTTAAGAAACATGACATATAATTTGAGACAGAGAATAACATTATTAACTAAAAATTTCTAATACTACATTTTAGTATAGAAAACATTATTAGGCAATCGAAACATTAGTTACCTTGATAAAAAAATATCAAAACATTGAAAAGTCTTACTGAAAACTCTTTTTTTATCAGTACTATGAAAATCTTAACAGTAAATGGTTGATAAAAGATCTATGCGAAAAAATAAAAAGAGTCACTACTTAACATATTTTTAGCATAAAAGTACATTGAACTTAGCATAAATACATAATTAAGGAAGATAAAGAAAGCGATTGGAGAATCCAAAGCAAGTAAGATTTGGAGAGTATAATTTTTTTAAGCGAGTGGTTACAGGTTAAGCACGTTGCAAAGACGTGCATTGTCCCCAGCCCAATGCTGAACGAGAAAGTTTCAATTTTTTTGTATTAAAATTAGATTTAAAACAAAAAATAGTTCAAAATTTATTAACTTTCATCAAGACATCAAATCTTTCCAAAAATATAATATTTTCTTTCACAATTTACCTGATCTTAGCTAGCGTTTGCACATAGATTTGGTTGAAACTTGAAAAAAAAGAGTTTTTGAAGTTGTATTAAAAAATAATTTTGAAAGTTAAAGTTGTTTTTGGGCATACCTTTCTTACTTGAAAAAAACTTGAAGTTTTGCGAGTGGAAGGAAAATTTTCACCCAAAAAATGGCTCAAACTAATTTTTGGAACTTGATTTTATTTAAAAAAAAAAATTTAAAAAAAAACTGATCAGAACCACGAACAAACAATATTTCTAATTTTCTTTTTGAAAAAAACTCCCAAAATCTATGCCCTAATGGGTCTAAACTTTCCTAAATGTTTGATATGATTTCACTAATATATTAGATTTGTACCTTTGATAGATTTTCAAAACTTAATCAAAATTTGAATTTTATATGATATTCTTCTGTTGAGCTAACTGCTCAACAATCGGTTGGCCCGAGCTTCCCTTGGTTGGCATACCTTGGTTACCATTACTAAAAAAAAGTAAATAGAAATTCGTCCACAAATAAATCTTTATAATTTTCTTCAACTCAAAATTATACTGTTCAAACTTCAATTTTAGTAAATGTATCACATAAGATGTTACTTCTACCATTCCAATTTATGTGATAATATTATCTTTTTCATCTATTCTAAGGAATGTCATAGTTTATTATATTTTTAAAAATTATATTTTAAATTTTTTATTTTATTTTTAATGAGATAATTTATAATTATATAAATATATATAATTCAATTAAATCACAAACCTTAAATTTTTCTTTCTAAAAATTGAAACAAAAGAAGTTTGACTATGAACAATGGGAAGAGAAATTGAAGGTTAAGAAATATAAATTCGAACCCAAATAAAAAATAAATGTGGGACCCGATTTTACTGCCAGGGAGTGGAAGCCCACATGTCCTCTATACACTCCAAGAAAGGACCATAGATGTTAGAAAAATATACACAGAAAAGAGAAAAACAGAAACAACACACTCTCTCTCTTTTCATCTCTCTTCACTGTATTGCCTTTCCTTTCTCCTCTCTCTCTCTCTCTCTCTCTCTCTCTCTCTCTCTTTCTTCATAGCATTTCTTCAGAGTATAGTTTGTGAAAGTACAGAGCTTTAGATCTCTGGTTTACATCATTTTCTCAAGGTAAAATGCCTTCTTTTTATTTTCTTGATTTGCTATTGTGTTTTGCTTTGAACTTTTGCTCATTATTGATACTCACTATGTGTTTGTCCGTAATATACTTATTCTGAGTTTAACTTCCTTGCATTGACTTTTAAGCTACTCAATCTCTTCATTTTTATTTTTTTTTTAATTTTATTCATGAGTTACTTTAAGTGCTTTAGGATTTGTACTAAAAATTGCAGCTTTTTAGGAAGTTGGGAGAAATAGTGACGGAATTTGAAATATAAATCCCACTTAGGAATCTCATTTTTTTCTTGAAACTTGTAATCTTTATTATTTTTGAATAATGGTGTTATGTTAAATGAAATGGATCTATGCTTGAACCGAGTATTTCTCCATTATTGTGTTTGGTTCATTGTATGATAAAAAGTTGATGGTTGGTCTTAGACTAGATGGTTTCATATCTCATTAAGGGGTGTGCAATTTTATAGGATGCAGGTACTCTACAATATCTGTAACTTTGATTAAACAGATTTGATGGCAAGAGTTACTTTTGTTATACATGGAATGTTGGACCTCAGACTATAGAAAATGCTTTATTGGGATCATAGAATTGGGATTATAGGAAGGGGAGCCTTCGAGCAACGGTCAGTTGTCTCCATGTGACCTATAGGTCACGGGTACTGATGCTTGCATCAGGCTACCTACATCACACCCCCTTTGGGTGCGGCCCTTCCCCGGACCCTGCGTGAACGCGAGATGCTTTGTGCACCGGGCTGCCCTTCTATAGAATTGGGATTATCTGCAAATGTTTTTGAAAATCCTTATCCAAGTTATTAATTTTTTTAGCTTTTCATTTGCATTCTCTGTTTTATGAAAAGCTTGTTCATTCATTTCTTTATTCTTGTGTTGTGGTCTAAGAGGTAATAGTATTTATTCTGGTTTAATATATGTATGAGTTTGATTAGTAAGGAAGATTGCTGGTGGTGCTTTGATTATTAATATAGAAGTTCAATTGTCTTTACAGGGTCAAGGATGGATATCGAAATGACAATCAAACCGGAGTTGATGGAGCTTAGAGATTTTGTGCGATGTGATGAATGATGCCACGGTCAGCATGGTGTTTGGCTTTTGAAAGATGGTTCAGATCAAGCTTCTGTGGTTTACCAATTTACTATGAAGTGCTGAGTGCTTGCTGATTTGTCTAATTACCAGCAAATAATGGGTTCATTTCGTGGCCATTGTGAAATTGTTGAATCAAAGGATGAGCATTCCAAAAAGTTTCATCAAGCACTCGAACCGGACAGAAAGCAGAAGCCACCTCTGGTTAGAAAAGGAGCCAGTAAATTCTTAGAAGATGATATCAATCAGCTCTTCGAAGCGATCAATGTAAGAACATCGAAGAGTCTGGATTTGACAGATAAAGTTAGAAGAGATGCCTCAAAAAGGCCAATGAGGGGTGGTGGATCTCATTCTCCAGTAACAGGGTTTTCTGATCCAGTTTCTCTAAAGCAGGCGCTTCGGGGTTTATGCATTTCTCAGGCAGCAGAAATGGCTGCAATGAAGCGATTATCAAAGCTGCCAGGTTCTCCTAGTGTTCTAGAAGCTGGACGGATTACATGCTCTTCACGGTTTGCAGATACAAGTGAAAGCATTTCTGGATCTCTCCACAAGGTGCTCCATAAACCCCAAGAACGATACGTGAAGTCAGCAAACCATAGTCCCCTTTCTTCTCCACGATTTGCCATTAAACCATTCATCGGTATGCACCATAATGGAAGAGTAGTACCAGCAGAAAGCACGTCTAGCTCTGTGCCTCATCAAATTCAAGAGGCCAGGCTAAAGTCACCAGGTCAAAGTGCGCTTTCTTCTCCACGATATGTTAGTAAACTGAGTATTAAAAGTACAGAGTCCACGTCCCGTCAGAAGGATTCTCCACAGCCTCCAGAAGCCAAGATGAGGCCAACCAGTCAAAGTGCTCTCCCTTCACCTCGAATTGGTGATAAACCGGTAATTAAGTATGCAGAATCAATTGTAGTGCAAAATGAGAAGACAGGACCCGAGGAAAGCATTTCAGGCTCTTTCGACGTGATGCCTCAGTACCTTAAAGAGCCCATGAATTCCTCAAACCAAGGTGTGATTTCTTCTCCTAGGTTGGTAGCTGCACAAGCTTTACAGATTACTACTCCCAGTCTCCAGGAAAATATGAATCAAGCAACAAACAACCATGAGATGAAACCACTAGGAACAGCATCAACTAAGGGAAAAAACCAAACTGCAGTTCCTTCCTCATCTTCATGTGAGTCTAGTAATGTTGTATTGATGTCTGGACCAAAAAGATCGCCAGATAATCTGAAGAGAAATGTGGTGACATCGTTTAGAGTAGCAAATAAAGCAGCTCTAAAGCTGAGACGGAAAGGCAGGTCGCAGGCGGTGTCTTCGTCAAATGTAACAAGAGGCAACAAGGAGACCAAATCGACAAAAAGCACCACTCGTTCCGTAAAGCCTCCAGTTAAAAGCAAATATCTTGTGAAGAAGAAATTGAAAGAGGAGGCAGCACTAGCATCTGGCACTTTTAATCTATGCTATGAAATAAATGATTCCACAGAATCACCTAGTCAACTTATCTGCCAGAGATGTCAGTGCACTCTTGAGGGTGCGGGGAAGGAATCCAATAAAGAACCCGCAAAGCAAATCTCTGGATGTATGACTGTCGCAGCCAGTGAAAATAGTATTAGCTGTGCTGCTAATGACTATGACAATGTCGGTATTCCTGTCTTGAAATTCAACAAGACATCAAAATCTAGGGAGCAAGGGGAATTCTCTCAAAGCTCAAAGAGTAGTATTGGTGATTATAGTACTAGCACAACCATCAGTGAAGAGAGCAACCTAAGCGGATCCTTTTCTGGGAACAGACCGCACATGTCTAAGGATGGCAGGTGGGAGGCTATCAATCAGGTGAGGAAACAATATGGATTCTTAGGGTTAAGTCACTTCAACTTATTGAAGAAGCTTGGTTGCGGAGACATTGGCACGGTCTATCTTGCTGAGCTGCTAGAAACTAACTGCTTGTTTGCAATAAAAGTTATGGATAATGAATATCTGGCAAGAAGGAAAAAGATGCCGAGGGCCCAAACTGAAAGAGAGATTCTGCGAATCCTGGATCATCCTTTCCTGCCAACACTCTATGCGCAGTTCACTTCAGACAATTTATCATGTTTAGTTATGGAGTTCTGCTCAGGTGGTGATTTGCATGTCCTCCGACAGAAGCAGCCAAGCCGATACTTTTCTGAGCCAGCAGCAAGGTATGATGTGCTCCAATGCAGTAGATCTTACTTAACGTTAATCATATTTGTCGATGAAGCTTTCTGGGAAATACCTGTGAAAAATGAAGCTTTCTTTGGAAATGACTTAGTTCGCCATAAACATACCATTTAAAGACTTCTCTTTCTTTTGATCTGCAAAATTCATTAGTTTAAATAGATTGCTGTATGGGAGAGTGTTTATGCATTCATTTCTTATATGAAATGCCTATTCACTCTTGATTATCGCCCATCTATAAGATATTGGCTTCCCGTAATTCATCCACCTCTAAGTCTCGGGTGAGCTTAACTTGGACTTGCTAGTTACTTTATTGACTTGAACAAATAAAGGCTAGGTAATGCATGACCATAGGACCTATCTATATGTTGTAGCAACGAGATAAGACAAATTCTTTTAATACGCATGCATTTTTTGATTAGGTATATCCTCTTTCCCTCACCAATCAAACCCTCCCTCCTTCCCAAAGGAAGTGAAACTTTAAAAGAATACACTTGTGTCAGAATTGTTGCTTTTAAAGGCTGAATGGAACTTATTTCACTGGACTTCTGTTTGTGGTTCTCTAGGTTTTGTTTAAATTTTGTTGATGCAGTGTCAAAATCTGGATTCTGCAAAAAATTGATCAATAGTTTCGGCAAAGACATGGTAATTTTTACATGGAAATGAAGAACTTTGGGCTGCTGTTTAAAAATATTGGCTTAGTTTGGTAGCTGTCTTTATATACTGTTGGAAAGATTAAAAATTCTGACTTGCTTTGGTAGCTTTGTTTTTAACAGTACGAAAGTTGAACCAGCTCTGTCTTCAGCATAAAAGACCCTTCATGTATCACCAGACTACTAGCTTAGCGTATAACTTTAATTCTTCTATGGCCCAGGATTTTTCTCACTAGTTGCATTAGACACGTAGTACTGAGTTTAGGTTCTCTTATGCATGAGATATCAAATAGCTTCTCTGTTTACTGGATGCTACTTGTTTTATTGCCATGTAGATCTATCTATCGACAAGTCGGCATGTCAACATCTTAAAAGACAGATGGCTCCCCCCCTCCCCCCTCCCTGCTATTCATTATCATGACCTAGTGGTTGTGCTTTTCCTAACTCCGCTGAATGTACATCTCAGTTTCCGAGTTTTTATGGCAGCTAGTAATTCTATTCCGCATTATGAATATTTATCTTTAATATTTAAGCATAGATGAATTGTACATCTTTAAGAGAAGCTAGTAACTTTGTTCTGCGATATTCAAACTTAGATGAATGATACATCATCTTATTAATCATTTGGCTTCCACATCCGTGTATTCGCAAGTCATTGAGATCGTTCTAACTCAATGTAATTGCAGGTTTTATGTTGCTGAGGTCCTCCTTGCGCTGGAGTATTTGCATATGCTAGGAGTTGTTTACCGTGATTTGAAACCAGAAAACATTCTAGTCCGAGAAGATGGTCACATCATGCTTACTGATTTTGACCTCTCACTCAGATGTTCGGTCAATCCCACTCTTCTTCAATCATCCTCATTGGGAATAGAAGCTCCAAGGATTTCTGGTCCATGTGCAGGATCCAACTGCATTGATCCTTTTTGTGCGGGACCATCATGTCAAGTTTCTTGCTTTAGCCCCAGAATTTTTCCCGGTTCTGCAAGAGTAAGAAAGCTAAAAGCTGAAGCTGCCTCTCTTAACAGATCATTGCCTCAGCTCGTGGTGGAGCCAACAGAAGCTCGGTCCAACTCATTTGTCGGTACACATGAATACTTGGCTCCTGAGATCATTAAAGGAGAGGGCCATGGGAGTGCTGTTGACTGGTGGACTCTCGGTGTTTTTCTTTACGAGCTTCTATACGGGAAGACACCTTTTAAAGGTGCTGGAAATGAAGAAACTTTGGCGAATGTGGTTATGCAGAACCTCAGATTTCCTGATAGTCCGATTGTCAGTTTTCAAGCGAGGGATCTTATCAGAGGGTTGTTAGTAAAGGAGCCTGAGAATCGATTGGGAACAGAGACGGGAGCTGCTGAGATTAAAAGACACCCTTTCTTTGATGGCCTGAATTGGGCACTGATACGCTGCGCCATTCCACCTCAAGTACCTGGAGTTTCAAAAGTAGCTTTTCAGGAAAAGAGCAAAAAGTTTCTGGAGTATAGTTCAACAGGAGAACATCTAGAATTTGAGCTGTTCTAGCGAAGACTGGTGTTTACTGTCTGGTTGTGATGTATCCTTTGCTCCTGCCCCTTGTTGAAACAGATATCTAATTTATAATGTAAATTGCCAAGAACAACAAGTGGTTCTTATCTACATCACGAAAAAATTTTGCTCAGTGAAAATTACGTAGCATGTTGGATGCTGTAGTATGCTTTATTATGCCATATCAGTCAGACCTCTCTATAACATCATTCATATATAATAGTGATTCACTATAAAAGTCCTGTATAACAATACTTCTGTATAACAATACTTCACTGTAGCAACCAAAGAAGAAACAAACAAAATTGTTATAGAAAGCTTTGATTGTATTTGGATTTGTTTAGCTGATGTGCCTGGGAAAAATTTAAGAACCACACTAGGAGGCTGAGCAATAAATACACCAAGTCACCTTTGAGAGCCTAATGGAATAGAGAATAGAGGATATGCCCTCATTCCCCCACGCCCCCCCCCCCCCCCCCCCAACCCCAAACTTCACATTACAAAGGTTTTGGCCTAATTCCCTTATGTATGCCCTATTGTTTCTAATAATAAAAAATATATATAAAAATAATGTTCGTGACATATGATTACTGTAGAAGGTTACGGTGCGTATAGGAATAGTCTACTGATATTATATTTACGCATAGAAGGTTAGCAATATTGTTTGAGCAATTTAAATGCTAAACCAATTAATGATTGGTATGGTTGTCAAGATGTGACGTCACTTCCACGTGCGTCATCATTATGCATCTTCCCGAGACAGTCTGTGTGCTCGTCGCTTCGGTTTTAGCGCCATTGACAATCTTTTGCTTCGATTCTCGTGCCACCCAGCCCTATAAATAGGTGAGGATTTTGTTTTTTCCATAAATTTTCGCCATTTCCTTCCTTGTATGCACATTATTCTCCTTTGATCATCTTCATCAGTTCTTAGCTCCGTTTCAGCAATTCTGTTTCTCATCTTCCTGTTTAGTCATTGTCTCTCCCTTTAGGTTTACTAGCACATCTTCTGTTATCGAGATGTCTCGAACCCTTCGCGCACATGACGAAGTTTCCGACGCCACTCCGTGGTCAGTGACTCCCCCTTCCAGTGGCGAGGATATCGCGGCTGAGGAGGGTGATAGTTTTCCTACCGTGGAAGAGACACTACCCAGAAATCCTTTATCCAGAAACGACTTCCATAAGGAGCATGCTCCTTCCCCTGTTCCGGTGATCTCTGAAACCGGGCCATCTCATATAGATGAACTCCGGCCTACATACCGTATTCCTTCTCACATCGAGATGGTTCCAACTGGGGGGGGGGGGGGGACACATTATAGAGGTCCACAGACCTGTATATTGTGTTTTTTACGTGTATCCTTTCGTCATTGGTTATACTCTCCCTCTTCTCCCGCTAGCGAAGGAGTTCTGTCGGTTTTACGAAGTCTGCCCGGCACAGCTATCTCCGTATTTGTATAAAATTTTCCTGATGCTGACGAAGTGCACGGAGTTGGCTTGGTGTGAGATTGAAATCCACCACCTTTTACATTTGTTTTCCCCAAGCTTTCATAGAGCTACCATGATCCATCTGCGACATCGCGGGACCAGGGGGCTAGTGGTTGGAACGGATGACAGGGCGAGTCGGAAGTTTTGGCACAAGTATTTTTTTATCAAAACGGAGCACTTGGTGTCGGACCCTACTAGATTTCCTGAGCAGTGGAATCATCACCGTAGGTGTCGATGACGTACGCTTGTTATCTGCTTTCGTTTTTTCTGACTTTAATTCATCTGTGATTTTTCCGTGCAGCTGAGAGGCGTGCAACCTTTCGCGTCGTCGGCATTGAGGATTGGGTAGCTCGCGTGCTACCTTACATGGCGGGGATCCGAGATTGGGCCGTTTTCTTCAAACGCTTTGGACCGAAGGTTTCGTCTGGTAAGTTAGTTTTTCTCCGACCTTCGGCTGTCTGTTATCGCTTATTGATACGACCTCTATGTGGTGACAGCTCGACGGACTTCCAAAAAGAAGGCTCCAGTCCCGGCATTTCGCCAGGCATTGCATCGGCAAGGATGCAATTTACTTTGTCCGAGGCCGCCCGTGGGGCTCGTACTCAGACTTTGTCAACAAGGGACCCTTCTCGGGATGTCACGGTACGGGACGAGATCTTCTATCGTCCACTCAGTGGCTTCCACGATGTCGGGATCCTTGATGACATCTGTCTGTGCGTCGGATTCGGTTCCCGATAGTGTTAATTGCTATGCTTCCGCTTTTGCTCCCTTTAGTTGTTGGGTGTACGTGCAATCCTGGGTGATGCTATAGCATTCTTGAGCAGTGCGTTGTTCGCCTCAGATGCAGAATATTCCCCATGGGGTAGGGAACTTGATTACTTGATATAGGCTTGACGGGATGGCCCTCATGGCGTGCATCTATGGCCGTCCTATGATGGCGTTGTAGGCTGTATATTGGTCCATGATACGAAACGTTGTTTCGAGGGTGACTCCCCCCGACTACACTGGGTAGCGTTATTTCTCCAGAAGTTCGCTCAACTGCATTATTAAAACCCGTTAGTGTTATGCAACGCGGTACTATCTTGTTCTTGAGTCTCATCTGTACGAGGACCCGAGGGTGGATAATACACGCGCCGCTTCCATTGTCTACCATTATTCTTTTCACATCGGTATCTGAAATACGTAAAGTAATAACAAGAGCATCGAAATGAGGGAAAGTCAAACCGTCGGTATCCGACTTGTCGAAGATGATACTGTCTTCGAGGTCAACATACTGTTCGTGAGTGATCGACCGCTTGAGTTTGTGTGTAGTGGTGAATTTCACATGGTTGATCGCTGCCTCGTTGCCTGCACTAACGATCATTTGGATTGTACGAGCGGGGGAGGGGGCTTTGGAGGTCCCTGGTGCTGTTCACGTCCACGACCAAAGTTGGCCCGTCCCCGGTCGCTCATTAGTTCCCTCAGGTGCCCTTGGTTCAACATTTTTACTACCTCTTGCCGTAGAGCTATGCAATCCTCAGTTTTATGACCCCGCTCCAGGTGAAATTCACAGAGGACATTCGGCTTTCTCATGCTGGGGTCGGACTTCATCTTCTGTGGCCATTTCACCTTTGTGCTGAGCTTCTCCAGTGCGTACACTATTTCTGAAGGGGAAACACAAAAATTGGGAGCGGATAAGAGTGGAGGCACAGCTCTCATTCTGCTGAGTCCCTGTGTGTGGCCTGGGCGGCCCTTCTGCATGTCGGGGAGACGGTGGGACGACTGTTCTGACGTAGGGCTGATGTCTTTCTCGATTGATAGGGGGACCTGGTTGATCTCTTAGACCGTCGTTACGACGATCTTTCCTCGGCTCTGTTTGAACTGATGTCAGCTGTTGGGTCGGACCATTAAGGTCATCCTCGTCGGCTCTTACCTCGGCGCAATATGCATTGTGAATTTCTTCTCAAGTGGTGGGAGGGTATTTCATGAGCCTGCTTAACAGTTTTCTGGTTGCCCTCGACCCGTTATCTGGAAAGCCGCTACAGTCATCCCTTCTGATACATTTGGTAAGCTCATTCTCACCCCGTTAAACCGGGCGAGGAAGTCCTTGAGTCTCTCGCCGGGCGATTGCCTAACGGCGAATATGTCGTTCACCCTAGCTTCTGCCTTCTTATCCCCTGGATGGGCGGTGACAAACTTGTCGGCTATTTCCTCGAACGTTGCTATCGACCGCGCCGGCAGTTGTGAATACCAGGTTAGGGCTCCCCCCGTTAAGGTTTCACCAAACTTCTTTAATAACACTGATGGTACTTTCTCCATTGAAAGATTGTTGCCCTTCACCGCTATGACATAATGGACGATGTGATCTTCGGGGACTGTAGTGCCATCGTATATCTTCAGGTACGGTGGCACCTTGAAGGTTTTGGGAATGGCATGTGGAGCCGCTTCCTCGCTGTACGGCTGTTCGACGAATCGACCAACATCTTGTTTTGGCAGTAATTTTGGGGCGCCTGGTATATTATCGACCCTTTCTTGATGCTCCATCATCTGGTCGCTGTCACACCTCCTTTTTACTACACTCCCAGAAGAGGGTATAAAAGAGAGTTTTTCCAATTAAAGGACTATCGAAACGGGATTATTTGTTTATTAAAAGATTCAGAGTCACCACTTGGGAGATTTATGGTGTCCCAAGTCACCGGTTCAAATCCCGAATCGAGGAAAAGATTGACTCTGTATTACAGTCCGCGAACTAGAAATCCGGGTAAGGAATTCTGTTAACTCGGGAGAAGAGGTTAGGCATTCCCGAGTTCCGTGGTTCTAGCACGGTCGCTCAACTGTTATTATTGGCCTATTATCTAATTTTAGAACACTTTTGAACCTATGTGCATTTTTAACTTTAACCGCTTTTAATTATTTTTAAAGAAAAATTTGCAACGTCATTTAAAATATGTCTTGAACCACGTCACATAAATGCACCCGCGGTCTGCAACACATTCTATATAACATTGTTGAGATCTGGATTTGGGTCACATAAATGCGCACCCGAGTTTAGGAAGGTAAATTATTAAAATAACGCGCCTAAAGCAACTACGCGTTTGCAACTTTGCGAAGGCCATGAAAATTCGCTATATGGCACACCTCAATTTCTAAGGATAAACAAGATTAATTAAGCGAGGGACATGCAATTTAAGGTTTTATTTGGCATGGCACGCCTCAATTATTCTAATTAAAGTGTTTCTAAACTAACTCATGAGGGCCCTAAGTTGTTATTGGTTTTGAATGGCACACCTCATATCAAAAGAATCTAATTAACTAAGAACAATTGTGGGCTTCTACTTGCCTAAACAGAATCGGAATCCCACTAATTAGCAACCACAAATTAAAGGGCCATAATTATTAATTAGCTAATGTAGCAACCTTAGCCCATTTTTAAAAAAAAACACTAACCAACAAAAACTTCTAAAAAACAACGCGGATTAATTAAAAGCACGCCAGGGCAGATTCTAGGCTTGCACTAAGCCCAGAAATGATGATGTATTGAGAGGGAATTTGGGGCTCGAAGTGAAACCCAGCAACGCAGGCGGATCGACGATGGGCATGGGCCATTTACGCAGCCCAGTTGTATTTCCCTTTTTGTTTGACAACTTAACGACAGAAACCAATTGCAATCAGATCATGCATGCTGGACAAAATCAATAATGAAATTAATCTACACTTTGAGCCTAATCCCTCATGAATGTCCT